CCGTCGGATTTGTCAAGGAGTTACTAGGAGACATACTAGAAAGGTCTTACGACTTACTATCTATTATGGAGTGTAGAAGTAAGGAGTAAAGACTGTGTATTAAAAAGTGTCCATAGAAAACCGTTAAATAAGGGTGGCGCCACTATAACTACGGGGTTAATTTTAAAGAACGCACCGAAAAATATTAGTGACTTTTTCGAGGTTATATTTACGAAATAAAATTATTTTAGATTTTAGAGTTACTGAGCAGTTTAGCAGCACACAGACTTAAACCGTCGACAAATGCTAAGTTCATTTCATCCCAGTAGCTGCTCCAGCGCTGTTGTGGAGAGTTTTTAAGCTGTTATTTACTGCTTATAGATAGCCACTTTTTCAACTATTCTACTATTGGAGTTGGTACTCCTTACTTCTACACTCCATAATATCTATGGCGGTTTAACCATCTTGTTTAATATTAGACATAAAATACCGATTTCAACGACGGGTGCAGTGTTACAGATGCGAGACATTTGCTGCTGCGAACGCAAATTCACCTATTAAAATATGCCACCTTTGAAGTAAAAACTGTTCAGCCGTTTCAGAAATTGATATACATATAAGTACATAAAATATACGCGAGGAATAGCACCTTTTAGCTTTTTTTAACTCTGTAAAAAAATTGTCGAAGCAGCGCGATTAACTTTTTTATTTTTGCTCTCCATACCCTCTTAAAACTCAAAAGAGGTCTGTCTTGATCATTAAATAGTGTAGTTTTAACATTTTTTACCCAAACTATGTGGTAGAACTATTTATTTGCATAGGAGTACGTCTAGATAAGCTACTTATTTCTGCAGCCAAATATCAGCGCAAGCACTGCTGTTTCGGTCTGAATGGTTCAAAAAATCAGCATTATTACAGGTTGCGAGGCATTCCATCGTAGCCTTCAGAGATGACAACGTACGGTCTGTAGCCGTCTTTGATTTTAGTTGACTGCAGGTGTCTGTGGACGGTAGTGGACACTTACCATCACGTGTGATAACAATAGCAAAAATACCCTCGATTAGGCAATCATTGGTGTAGGCTTATGTTATGTTCAGCTGTGACCCTTTGATAGACTGTAATGGTAAAGGTAGTGGTAGATAGGATTTTAAAGGTCTTCCCGTATCGAGCGAGTTTGGTTTAGAATTGAGTAGAATCGATTTATCAATAATAAATTTTTTACTTAAATTTGTTTACACACAATATAAAAAAAAACTATAATAAAGATACACTAAAACATACAATTTAAATTGCCACAAAGTCCTATTTACTCCTCGTGGTCCCATGCCTAGAACGCCGGCTGCGTTTACTCGCTGAATAACTATACTTAGCCTTTAAGCGAGGAAAGAACCAGCCATCTTACCACCAACAGCGACAGTTGCTTTAGGAACTTCACTGCACGTAGACCCCACGGACCGATCATGCACAAATATGTAGACATTTCTCAAAGACTCATACTTACGCCATTTACTTACAGTCAATCGGCGTAACTAACTATATATTATATATTAAATAAGGTAATTACATAATTCAGTTGCCTCTGATGCCGCCCCGGCTCTAAAAGAGGTACCCTTGAGATGAGGGGCTCCAAAGTGTCTACACAAGTAGCATCCCACGCTAGCGCTTTACCTCTCTCCAAAGTGACCAAAATCATACCATTCATTGAATAGAATAGAATAATTTTTAGTCCACAATAGATTACAACTAATTCTTATAGAAATGTCCTGGGAAAAACCAGCAAAAAGCCCAACGGTACTTTTCTTTTGAACAAAGAGTACCTATGGTTTTGTTTGTACTAATAAATTAATCTTAGTACATTGTTTACAATACAGTCCTAAAGGGTAGAAACATGTAATAATCATCATTTCTATAAAAACATTTCGAATAGTTCCTGTTCCGTTAGCACGACTCTTTGCTGATGTATTACAAGATATTGTAAACGGTACATAAGAATAAACAAAGTTATCATTGTGGTATTTACGCTTAAAGGTTCTAGTTAATTTATTGTATTGAAGGATGATACTATCCGTACTATCATATATTGTATCGTACTATATTTCAGTCAATTGTACAATATATTATAGAAAAAATAATGTAGTACGAAAAATACTATATTTTTATCCCTTGTTACACTGTCGCGCTTTTTTATATTAAGTGTGATTGGAAGTCTGGAACAAGTAAGTTCCAGACTTCCAATCACACTTAATATAAAAAGAATTTTTCCATCATGAATGTAAAATTGAAAGAAAAAAGAAAAGGAGCATGTATTAATTGAATTAAAATTTATTGTTAACTTATTTTAATATGAATCTAAATTGCTGAGGCTCCTATAATTATTTTAAAAGTAAGGTAGAAGGTTAGGTGGTTAAATCATTGATGACCAAAGCAAAGAGCAATCGCAAATATATATGGAAAAATACATAAAGATTAAAAATAAATGTGTACTTTTTTCTACTGAATTTCTCAAAAGTACTATCGTTTTGCATCTTTTTTGGGAAAAATACTATATTTGTTCAAGAAAAAGGTGGCAACCCTAAGTATAATGCACATTTAAATAAGACTTACGAGTTTAGTGATGAACTAGTGTACATGATCATTATTAATGATTCATTAATTAGGTATTCATTAATACAGTAAAGTTCACTGCTGAATATAGACTGCTCGAAATAGATTACCTTATAGGGGGCATTTGCCACAGTTGCCACGCTTGGCGGGCGTGTTGGCAACTGCTTTTTTATTTACTAGGTGTTGGTAGGAAGACGCTGCTTCTCCTGCTTTGTTTATCCCTGTGGCCTCCTGCGACACCTACAGTGCGATATGAAGTAACGTGTGGTGTGTAAGTTGTATTAACAAAATTATTAGGTAGGTACGTGGCTAATGGTTTAATGAATTGGAATTTGTAGCCATTTTTGTGAAAAACAATATTACGCAAAAATAACAATCAAGTAAAGGTCGGACAAAAATGTGCCTTTGCTAGGTAATACTCAATTAAATTATTAATCGAATGGATTTTTATGATATTTTGTATTAATCGAGATTAAAAATTTACAATTTTATCGCCAGGAAAACTGATATTCGAGTTCTCGTTTTCTTAAACGATAACCATATATGTTTCGATAATATGAAAGGCAGTTATTGACCTCAATTATTAATTAGCCACATTTTTATTTGGTAATAAGCAAAAGCTTTTCTAATGTAGTAACTTTTTGTTCACCGAATGTCTCACGATTAGGTACTTCGTGCTGGACTAATATGCATGCAGCGAAGAAGGGATCGCCTAAAAACCTTTTAACTTGGGAAATCCGTAATTACATAATAAGTTTCAGGGAAGGCCGATACACGGTGTTATATTGTATGAATGAATGAATGAATATACTTTATAGTATTGTAGTGTTCCGATTGCCAGCCGCCTCGCGCCGCTGTATTGTCTTGACACATCACAAGCTCCGCCAAACGTTTTCCCCGAGGGTAGTAGGATTATAATATGAAGTACGAAATGTACACTTGGCTTTTTCTTTGTTAGAAATTTCAAAACTATTTGGAAGTTTCAAACGGATATGGGTTAAGTGCTCGTAGTTCTGCACAAGTTTTGACACCGATCGAGGCATAAACCAACAACAGTCTACGTTATCAAAATAGGCCAAAATATTTTAGATACCATAAAAAAGGTCTGAGGTCTAAATATAAACTTATCGATTGTAAATACTGAGGTTTTTCAAACAAAGCAACATATTTATTAAATACCTTTAAGTATTGATAATGTTTTGTACCAGTTTTGACCCAAAGCGTGTATTGCCTATTATGAGCATAAACTATTTCGGAGTGAAATTATGTAAACACATTTTATAAAGAAAGTATATTGCAATTAAAATAAAGAAAAATTTAGTATTATTTTCGTCTGAATATTACTGTTAATAAAAACATGGATGTTGCAAACGGCGAAAATTATACAAAATTCTTATGGCTTTCGACCGCATGGGAGTATATCCACTATCTCGTACACCGTGCCAGATATAAATACCCAGACTGGTGACGGAGAGTCGCATCAAAGGATTAAAGGTAAGGTGACAAGTCGCTCGTCCTCCATATAGCGGGGCAAGAACAGATAAAGGGTTGGATTTCAAATTTCAAGTTTGTAGCAGAAGCCATAACCACAACAGTAACAAAATAATACGATAATTAACTAAAATATATTTTATTCAAGTACAACGTTTGTTTAATTAAATATAATCTTACATCAGTTACCTACAAATATTTACATAATATATTAATATCGAAAACACCTAACTTCACTTGATGAACCTTCATTCGTTTATAAAACCGTTCCTTGGTTGCTTTCTGGTGTGATCTTTGGTTCACATTTTTTGCAGTTTACTATTACTGAAATACTAGCTTTAGAACTATAATAACGTAAATTTTTAAAAATATGCTGTAGTTTTATATTGTACCTACATTGCGTTACAAAAAATTATAAAAAATTAAGTAATTTTTCTTTTAACTAGAACAAAACAATAAATTTTAAGGAATAGTGTAAATTTTAACTTAACAACATAATTTTCGGTTACGGTTTCGACCGAAACAAAAATAACAACCGAATACTACGTTACCTTCAATTAGATACTAGTATATCGTAATCATTAAATTATGCAGTAAGTACATAGCACACATCTCACTACATCGTAAGGTACTCCGTAAAGTGAAAGTAGTTATTTTTTTATATTGTAGATTACCATAGCACAAATAAACAGACTTGGTACCTCTTTATATGATAATACTTTGTATACAATCTTACAGGGATGAATTCGTGGAGGCAAGTAAACCAGAAGGAGGAGGTTGAATTTAGATAAGACCTGTGCCCTATGAACGTAATAAGGTGCTACATAACATTTTTAACTATAAATCAGCAGAAATGTTTATGAAGCTCATTGTTGTTGGCAGTTTTACATTGTTGTCACATTATAATTGAAAATGTCGTCAGCTTTTCAACATTTGTCTCCGTACAGCTGCCTGCAGTCTTTGTTACCACAGGTTAAAGTATTGCTGGGCCCTCTTTTTGTTTCATAAGGCACTTGGCCTATGTAATTGCCACTGGAAAAAAATTGATTATAAGAATAACTTTCCGTTCAATATTATTATGACGTGAGCAAAGAGTTTATATTTAAAAAGACTTTATTATTATTTTAATTTCATCATCATTATTTCTTTTCCTTCTTTAGCTGCCAGTTGTAGAGGATTTCACTTAATCGCCACGCTTGCATTAGCGAGTGCAGTATTATGTCTTGTCGCATCTTAACCCTGTCTCTCCCTGTCGCTGATTTTACTATTATCTAATGGAAAACTAAGAATAAGTCTGAAAATTTTCTGGCTTTACCTATAGCCATGGTGATAGTTTTTTTTTACTCTGCTAAGCCAGTGCTTGTCTAATATCCCACCCGATGGTAAGTGGTGATGAAGCTAAAGTTGGCAAAACGCTTTGACTTAACAAAATCCTTTACTCTTGCCTTAAGGACACCACATATTGTGATTGGATAGAAAGACACATGCCGGCAACTTATTCCACTCCTCTGATGTAAGCATGATGAACGGTGAAACGGACCGTTTGTTTCGAATGTGTGGTAAGTCGCCAACGAAATGCTAGAGACTGGCCGTGGCCGGGCTTGGGTTTAGTTTTAATTTTATTAATTACTGGGTCCCAAGCAAGTTGTAGTACCCAGCCTAATTTCAGTAGAGAAGGTCTATTGAAATTGGGATGTTTTTAATCACAATAGCCTCACGTATCGTCCTTGGTAGGAAGCGATGTTTATCGCGAGGGTTTGTGGTCTATCATATCTGATGTAATGGTTGGGGCCGCCTAGGATATGATCACCAACTGCAGACTTCCCGGAACGTTGATGCTTTACGTTAGCTTTATGTTCTTTTACGCGGGTTTTAATAGATCTTTTTGTTTGCCTTATGTATGAGAAACCATATTCACAATCACGCTTTTACACTCCTGCTCCTTGTAGCGGAATATGACACTTGACAAATGATAAGAACTGACTAATCTGGTTGGCTGATAGTGGAAGGGATAAGAAGGAAAATTGCTGCGTACACTCCGAAATGTATCCCGTAGAAAACTTATAGGTAGGCTACTTTGCGACTTGTGAGATTGGTTTTACCAGTTCTCTTATATGCCGCTACCACACGGCGCACTGAATTCCTACGTACTAAGCACTAAGTTCCATGAAATTATTATATCGATTTGAAGAGTAAGCGTCAGTAAAATAATAGACTGTGAGGCATTCCATATTCGTCCTCTGATTTAACTATTTTGTGTTCGTTTCCGTTAATCTTGTGCTACGGTAGCTTATCCACTTTTTTATAGGATAAATGTAACAAACGAGCACACAGTCCACTTGATGTTAAGTGGTTGCCGTGACCCATAGACATCTACATCCATCCTCGATTACGAATCAAAATACAAATGCACTGTCACCCGTGAGGATTAAGATGGAAAGCCTCGTTTCCAGTAAAAAGGGTCTCCGGTTCTCTACACTTACCGTACGAAACACAGCAGCATTAAGCTACTATTTCACGCTGGTATTCTGTGAGAGCGTGGTCCTTCCCCGGTCGAGCCGACACATTCGTGCTACAACTATATCAGTAATATAGCCGCAGCATGGCTCTACCGTAAGAAACGTGTCGTGAGCCATAGTACCTACTTCTCTGTGTTCTTTCTAATTGATTTATTTTTTTACGACAACAATTAAATTTTTAACGCATGAGATTCTTTTTATAATGCTGCCGTATCACAACAGCGGTTGCATTATATTCTGCACACAAATGATGTTTAGAATATTTGTTGTCACTAACACAACAATTTATCCCAAGACGTCACGTCGTCGTTGAACTGTGTTAAGATGTAGTTAGAAAATTTGTTTTTATTACCTATTAACCGTAAAATGTTGACCAGAAAAAATAATTATACAATAAATTCCTTGCTATTCTCTTGCCTTATGCATTATTCATTTCAATTCCAAAGAGCTGGTAAATCAGGACGCGAGCGCTCGCTATAAACTTCACAGTACCATGCGAGTAGTCCGAGTTTGATTCATGCCGGTACAATGGAAATAAGTATTATTAGCAATTTTAAGTGCAAATTTAACACACGCTGAGAATATAAAATAATTCATGGACAAAAAATAAAAAAGTTGTTTTATAATGTAGGAGATGAGACATACACAGTTAGAAAGTGTTGAAAAAAGAAAGTGATAAAAGCTACAGTGTGGTCTAAATGTTATAGTGCGGACCGCGAACTCAAAAGTCATGGGTTCGAATCCGCCATTCGACTACTGTCGTGGACCACTCCTAGCACAAGCTATATAAGCTCACCCTGAGTGGTTAACAGGGGATATTAGTAATATCAACATCATTGATAGTATTTTCTTTGTATAAAAAATAAATTAGGCTTTGCTTTCTGCTGCTTTTCTTTATGCGTTTCTAGAGTTTTTAAAAACTCAAAATACCTGTAATTCTAATTAGCATAGTTCTGTTCGTAATACTCACCCTGGACCGTAATTGCATACGACAAGGAATTCTTTGAAATTGTTTCGCCAGTACTGTGAAATTGCACATCCGACGTACATCGTGCTGGCCCACGCCATCTAAAAAGTCATTAATTTATTGTGTACCAATCAAGTGATTAACACGTGGCTGAACGTTTAACGAAGAATTTTCACGCCAGTTGTATTTTGTGGACCATGACACCATTATTTATTTATCTGTTAAGAATTAAAATTCATGGTGTAACTTGTAAAAACCTTATTACCATTAAAATGAGTCTGCGGTGTTCGTCTCTCATCATATGAAACACTGCAGAATTAGGTATTATGGTGCTATTTTCCGCTAGTACTATTTTGAGACAGCGTAATCCTTTCTATCGGGCACAATATCCGTGCAGCAGCCATAATACGAGTATACTTCATGTAAACATTTCATAATTTATTGATTTACTTAGCATTTTAAAAGTCCTCAAAAACGTGATCTAGAAGGTTTTAGACTAAAAAAATCTTTAATTATTTTTAGGATTTGGAGTGGATTTCGGAAGGTTAAGATGTATTTACTAATAAACCAAAAATGAAGAATTAGTTCATACCTGAGTATAATGTCCGATTTGATGTTTTGATGAACCATCGAAATCTTTCATTTTCAATGGCCTGTGAGTAAAGTAATAATGTTCATCAAACCATGATTTAAGACTGCCGTCAATGTCTAACTTATGATTAGGATCCGTTGTTGCGTACCAGTAGAGGTTCTCTCCTGTGTTAAATCGACGAGAACCTGAAAGTCAATATTAAAATGAATTTTGTACATAGGTTTTTTTTTATTATATCGATATAAATATCCATCAGACAGATTTATTGAGTCATTTTATGCTTTACAACTGGTTCGAAAATAAAACCCCTGTCCTGGGTAGATCCAACAAGAAACTCAGCAGAACAGTTTTTTTTAAGTTTCATTTTATTTTCACTTCAGAAGTAGATACGTTAAACCAGCGAACTAATTTTAATATAGCATTATTTACTTGTTAATATTTAAACGATTACCGTCACTGTACTACTACACCTTGTTTTTCAAACCAATTATTATCAACAATTTAAAATCATGTTAATAAATATATTACTTTATTAAATAAAAAACAAACAAAAAATAAATTTAAATCTATATCATAGCTATTCCCGTAATGTTAGTCATTAATAAAACCAAAAATAGGAAGGGGCCAAGAATTGAGCCCTGAGGTGTACCCGCAAATATTACCGATAACCGACCCAAAACTAATTGATAATAACTGTTTGGATTGTATTACTATTGTATTACTTAAATATATAACTTTTTTACTGTAAAATATTTTTTAGTGCTTAACACTTCCTCTTTCAACTATAGTTAGAATTGTTTCAATGCAAATCTTTTCACATAGTTTTAATAATAAAATAGTAAAAGAGTGAGCGAGCTACATTCTACGTACAAGATTTGTGTTTTACCGATATCGTAAGGCAGCAGCGGGTGAATAACTTCTGATAGGAATCTATTTTGCATGCTATCACTCGTTTGCTTTGTTGTATCCGATTTATATATTTCCTGCATTAAAATCAGAGTAGTAATATTAAAACAGAGGAGTACGGAAATATTTGTGTGATATCAAAACAATTTCCTTGTGTCACTGACACTGCATCATCCTCCTGCAATACACGTTCGATCTTATCGCGTATGGACAGGTTTGAATGAACAAGTACCTACTCAGCGCTTACATTGCATGTTTAGAATAAAAACCGAACAAATCAAGTTCATTGAAAAAAAACTTTAATTATGTATCTATATATTTTGATAATGTAACATTATCAAAATTTTTGAGTGCTATTAATTGTTCTCTTTTGAAAATGTATATTATACATTACCAACGCTTTTTTCCGGGTTGTGTCGAAATTGATTTCTTGACGCCCATTTTGCTGCTTTTGCTGCTAATTCTTCGTCCCAAATCTAAAAAATAAACCAATACTGCACATATAATTTTGAAACTGAAGTCAATACCTGATCACTGATAATTTACACAATATTCGCGGTGATCGCTACCAAGCTATTTCTAATTTGTTTTGTGTTGTTAATTGTAACGTACATGATTGTAAGCTATTATTTGAAGAAAAAAATTGTCCCGCTAGGTTTCTTGCTAGTTCAACCCAGGACGGAGGTTTTTTTGCGAACCAGTGGTAAATGAAAAAAGTGACTTTCAATAAGTATTGTTTATAATCTACATATTATATTGAATAAAAAAGTTACTGTTTCTGTTTCAAAATAGTCGATGGATGCAGGTGGCTCAGGAATCAAGGCCGTGCTGTATAGCATTCCTTGGGAAAGGCCTATATTCATCAATGGACCTGTGATGTACGGTAACAATGATGATGATCATAAACTTTTAAAAATTAATCTCTCAAAAGGGTATGCGACATTATTAATCAAAGGGTTTTGGGGTTGGATACCTGCACGAAACGAGTTTTGTAGGGCATACACAAAATAAACACTCTTGTACTTATTTTATGTGCATGTGTCTACTATACTAACTGTATAGTCAATTGAAACACTGTTTACGAGCTGTCCAAACAAAACGTGCTGTAAACTACTCAATAACTATTAAATCAATTACAGTAGGAGTTTCTAAAATATTTGAAATTAAAATATATATCTCCGGTACGGGAAAACTTTACGAAAGTAGTTTGTAATTTTAAAATACCATAATGTAGAAAATAGAAACTTTCAACGGTCTTGTAGGCACGACTGCTAATCATGTAGTCCCAGGTTCCAATCCCGGGTACAGTACCAGATCAAAAGTCTGTTATTGGTTTTTTCTGTTAAGAAATTCTGTGCTAGTCAGGAAGATTTCACCCCCGGGCTTCGGAAAGGTTATGCGCCTAAACTCTTGCAGATCGTGTTAAATCGCCGTTCCCTGTAGCTATTATTTACTGCGCCTATATGTTGTGCATCCGTTATAAAATATATAAATTACGAATTATAAGATTTACAAGGCAAAGTACTTTGAATTTTAATGAATCAGTAAATTACAATAACAACTTATGTCGTCGAACTCACGCTGAGAAATTAAAAATAATTCATGGACAAAAAATAAAAAAGTTGTTTTATAATGTTGAATAAAACTAAATTTACGGATTCTATCGCGTTTATTTAACTGATTTTATATATTTTTAATTCCCGACGTTTCGGGTGCTTTACAGCACCCATGGTCACGGATGTTTTATAATGTTTTTTTTTTAAATAATTAATTTTCAAAGTTGGCTATTTGAATACGCATCTCAAGCATAGAGTAAATAATAGTAGGTACTACGCATCTAAAGGCTTAAAATATAGGCAAATCAATAAATTATTTGCATAAGTTAAAATTAAATAGACGAACCATAAGCTTCATTTCAGAGGCCGGGGGTTGTCCAGGAATCTGCCCTTTTGCTAATTGAAGTCTCCGGGAGTTGTGTCCATCGACAAATGCACGAACTTGCTTGCACGACAGGTTTATCACTGTAACGCACACATTAATTTAATAATATTTCAAGTAAACGTAATTAATGGCATTTTGCAAAATTAATGGAGGAAATCTACATACGTTTTGCTTGCGTTAAACCGCACAAAGTAAATAAAAAGATGAACTTGAGTTTCATTGTAACGCACATGAACGCCGGCAAAGCAAAACAGTAACTGCAATTTGTACGTACAGCGCTTGCAATTAAGTAGTAGCTACGTTTTATAGTAAACCATCGCTTGAAGAAAAAGAATTATATTATGATTCACTAATGTGAGCGCCTCAGGCCACTTAGGGTTGTCATTCCGGTGAAAGTGGTACAAATTAATTTCAATAGAAATGTCCGTAGTGCAATTTTATAGGTCAATTTTAAATAAAAGCATAATTTCATTTTTGTTATGAATTCAACATGACTACCTACTCTCTATGGAGTACATGAACAGTCAAACTCTTAGATATCGATCGCTTTCACTCTAAACTCTAAGTAAACACTCAACTGGCTGACACAGCGATAGATGTATTGAACATATTTAGGTTATTTTAAAAGTTTCGTTTTGACAATTATTTTTAAATAATTATAATTATTACCTATCAGCTTGTTTACAATATAAATTAAAAATTCTTAAGTTATACAACACTCGTGACTCGTTCGACTATGAACTACAAGCATTTTAATATTTAGTATCGCGTCTGGTCGAAATGATGCGCTTTATTTGAAAAAAAAAACATGTGTGTGTGCTCACTATATTGTACCTGCCTTAACGAAAATATACACACTATACACACAATATACATACTCACACCATTTTTTCCTCAAATCTATGGCACTGTTGCATTCCCCTTCTACTGCAATAAATATAAAAAAAATATAATTTTTGACGTTTTGTTAATAAAACTCAAGTGAAATACAAACTTGCAGTTAGATGAGGATAGGGAAGAGTGGGGCAATTGTGGACACTTAACTTAATATTACAATAAAAGCAACATTAGCAGTAATCAGTATATTTTTCAATACGTATAATTAAACTTTGGTTATATCCTTACAACATTAACACAATCTTTTATTTTTAACTAATCCACTACTATTAAATATTTCAAAAAAAAAAACATAAATCTTGCTGTTTGTAAATACCCTCTGGGGTAATACTTACAAATGATTTATTACCTTAAAATCAGAAATATAACCACCAAACGTGGACACTACACAGGGTAACCAGTTCTCTGCGAGAGACGACGCGTCCAAGCAATATGAGATGAGTATTTAATCATTTCGTATCTTCCTTCTCTTGCATCGTGTCAAGTTCTGAAGATATTTAACTCATATCTTGAACTTTGTATTGGTGTACTTCTTTTTCTTTTTAACTTTTTTTAATATTCTCAGTCTTTTTCTCTTTTATCGACTTCCACATATTTAACTCGATTCTTCATTCTTATATTATTCCTTTTGATTTTCCAATTTCTGTTTTTAGAAAGTACTAGTTAGTACAGTCTTAATTTTTCTTACAAAGGGTTTTTATAGGAGTTTGTAGATTTGAAACGATTCGCTGCTTTTTCCATATTTATGGTTGGATCAAATATGATTATTTTGAGTCCCAGGGTTATTAATCATGTGCGTTTCACACTTTTCAAGCCAAACTCAAGCTTTCTGCTGCCACCACATTGATGTTACTTTCCTCCTTTAAATAGTGAAACATAACTGCCGGTAGCATTTTATGATAGTTCTCTAGGTATCGCGTTCACTACTTGTGCATTTACCCACTTCTTTTAAGCGTCTATTTATTTTCCGTTTTTCTTTTCTAAGTACAGAGCAACTGAAGTAGAAATATATAAATATTTATTTTAGGACTTTTTTTAAAGTTGTTTTGTTAGCCAGTAAATGATAACAGGTTGGGTAAAAAAATTATTGAAATCTGAATATCTAAGAAATAAGAAGCATAATTTGGGATACGCCAACTCGAAATACCACTCGAATAAACTCGCTGTCGCTCTGTGCTACTAACTATTCACTAAAAAAAACTATTCACTTTCTTTATTTTATTTTTAATCTTTAATGCGTCCCCTATAAGGAAGGATATAAAGGACATACGTAATGTCTAAACGTGTTAGAGTCATGCCGCAGTTATTAGTTGTATAGTTATAGCACAAATAGTTCGGCTCGACCGGGGAAGGACCACGCTCTCACAGAATACCAGCGTAAAATAGTAGCTTGATGCTGCTGTGTTTCGTATGGTGGTGAGTGGTGAGTGTGAGAGAATCGGAGACCCTTTTAACTGGAAACGATGCATTCCATCTTAGTCCTCACGGGTGACAACGCATCTGCATTTTGATTCGTAATCGAGTATAGATGTAGATGTCTATGGGCCACAGCAACCACTTACCATCATGTGAACTGTGTCAAGCACACAGTTTGTCGCCCTATCCTATAAAAAAACAGTCTATTGAAATTTTTTACCAGAGTACCGCCGAAGTCCGATACTCCATACCATGAAGTGGAAATAAAATATTTAATTCAATAGATGTTCATCACAGAAGACTAAGAGCTATTTTTAGTTCTGTGATGTTTACGAACCAATATTTAGAGTATTTATTAAGCAAAGCACCTGATCTTTACTAAATGAACGAAAAATGTAAACACTAAGGATAAGCATGAATGCGTTTCTCTTATCATATCAACTTTTTTTAAGGATATCATTTTATGACAAACGTTTGAAGAAATCATGATGGTTTGATGATGAGGCAGCCATATGTAAGTCAGCTGAAAAGCACTGATTACGCGTATGACTCACCATGAAGCTAAAACTACAGAAGACAGGGGCATAATTTTTTTCATAAGTGGTAGAGCCACGCTGCAGGTATATTGTATTGTAAAATAGCAGCTTAATACTGCTGTGTTTCATATAGTGAGTGTAGAGATCCGGAGACCCTTTTTTACTGGAAACGAGGCATTCCATGCTTTGTCAGTTCTCAGGAGTGATAACGCATTTGCGTTTTGATTCTTAATCAAGGATAAAATGTAGATGTTTATGGGTCACAGAATCTACTTTCTATCAGGTGGACTGTGTGCTCGTTTGTCACCCATATTCTATAAAAAAAACTTGGACAGTAGGACGTTATTAGGAGAGAAGAACTTTATTATGGTAGTTTGAAGAAATTTTGTGTAGGATTAGTCCCATTACTGTTGTAATTCATGTATTCATTAGCCGTCGTTCTGATATCAAAAGTCCACTGCTGAAAATAGGTCTTCCCCGTAGATTATCCATGTAGGAGCGAAATCTGCCATAGTTGCCACGCTTGTCGGGTCGACTTTTATTTGCAAATTTGCTTTTCATTTGTTAGATAACATTTATTTGCATAGGCTTTTTGGAAATATAATACTTTATGTTCTAAAATAAGACATACGAGTTTGAATAAGACTCACGTCAGTTTGGAGTGCGTGAAATTTAGTTCTTTTTAGCCTTTTAGAAAATAGGTCAATATTTTATCAGAGACTAGCAACCTGCCCCGGCTTTGTCTTGGTAGGATTTATTAATGTACCGCCATTAGATATTATAAAGAACCATCAATAAATAAATAAATAAAAAGTATTTATTTGCCACACAAAAATACAATGTTAAAATTTAAATAGACAGCTTAATAATTAGTTGTGACAAAACGGTCTGTGACTCAGTTGTAACGGGAAACCCATTACTCTTACAATTCTGCCACAGCCTTTCAATTCCAATGACTATTTGTTTTCTTAATTTTTCCACTTCTCAATAAAATTCTCAAGGTTTTTCGGATAAAATATTATATTATAATTATTTTTTACAAACACTCACGCCTGTCACCCAGAGAGGGGTAGGCAGAGACTACAGACTTCCATTTGGCACGATCCTGACACACCTCTCTCGCCTCCTTCACATCCATATACCTACGCATATATGCTCGTGGGTTTAAGGATACTCCTAATTTGGCCCGTTTTCAATAAATCGCCAATTTGGTCGATAAATTTTCGCCTAGGACGTCCCTTTCTGACTCTGCCATTCACTTCTGCAACATAAATTTTCTTCTTGTCACCCGTTCCTCATTCATTATTTCCACATGACCAAACCACCGAAGCATTCCTTTCTTAATCCTGGTCACAACATCATCTTGCAAACCACACTCTTCTCTTATCTTATCATACAATTTCTCACCCTGTCATTCTGATTCAACCCTAACATACTCCTTAACGACCGCAGACAACTTTCACTAGCATACGTTAAAGTAGGGACCAACACAGCATTGTGAATGGCATACGTGCCTTTTTCGACACATTTTGACTCTTCACAATAGATTGTAGGGCCCCATTTACTCTATTTCCTGCATTCACTCGTCGTTCTATATCCTTATCACATCTCCCATCCCTGCTAAATATGCAACCCAGATATACAAACTCATCTACTTGCTCGATCAACTCCCCTTCTATTCCTATTTCACATATCGTCTTACTTTCTTCTCTTTCAAAAACCATAACTTTCGTCTTACTTGCGTTCACTTTCATATCTCTTTCTTTTAATGATCTGTTCATTAATGTAACCATAATTTGCAACTCGGCCGCTGACGACGCAAGAATAACTTGATCACCGGCGTACAAAAGGCATTTGACGGTTAAAATATAGCTTAGATAACTCCGTGCATTGCTCTCTATTCTGTTCGTGAAGTAGGCATGTGTCAATCATGAACGATTCGTTCATTTGACCCGAGTTGCAATAAGTATTGATATTGCAATCATATTTCTTGAAGGATCCGGATCAAAAGATTGAAAAGACCTACGAGTATATGTCCTGTAACTTATGATTGACTGCACTAATTGTAAATGTAAATAAATAATCCATTTGAATGATCGACCGGAATGGCCCGGTTTGTAAGACGAATCAATACTTAACGATCGACTCACTAGAAATGAACGAATAACACAAATGTCTATCGTGAAGTGTTACTGTTTAGTTTAGTAGACAGACGGACAAAAATTTTGCAAATTGTTATTCATGTTTCAATGGCATGCATTGTAACATGGCATACCTACTATCACACGTTACTGGTTACCTACATTTCCCTAAACACTGACTAACACGCTGATTCATTATTATTTAGCATAACCATAACTTTAAAAAGTAGGTAAGATTTAGA